CTTAGTATATATATATATATATATATATATAGGTTGACATGTACAAATACAACGTGTGTGTATGCGTATGGAAGAAAGTGGGAAGACAAATATAAGAGATTCATTTAGATTTAATTTGCACATGTAGTGGGGGACTACTAATTTGTGTCAATCTATTTTGATTGCCTAATGTTCTCTTTACCTTGCAATAGTGTTAATTCAATTCCATTAATGATTGTTTGTTATTATAATAATGGTTGATTTCTTCTGATCTATATATCACAAGTTCGATCAGTTGCGATAGTAAATATTAGCGTATTATATTAGAGTAAGTTATCAAAGGTCCTTTCTCGAATCCATTATGAATATGGAGTACTTTGTACACTACACTGTCTTCAATTTCCATTTATACACCTCGCTTGTTTCATTAAATGCATGTCAGATATCAAACACCTTCCTTGTTTCATGTTATAGACATCAAAGTCCTGCTATAGAAATGGTCAATTATAATTTGGCTACGTCATAAATTAAATCTATAATAATTTTTTGTTTTTGCTATAATTTAGACCTTAGTTTTAAAATTATTTTTATCTGCTTCATTAACGACTAGATCGGATCAATTATCTAAGCAGAAGAAAAACTATAGTATAAAAAGAAAGGTAACAAAGAAATATAAACATTATTATTCTAAAGTCAATGAAGCTTAGTAGTATAGCTAATCTTTTTTACAACTAATTAAGTACTTAACTAACTACATTCAAACACGTAATTAAGTATCTATAATTGAGGACTAATTAAGTCTAATACGTTTACTCTAAATTAAAGTACTTAAGTTGTATAACTTAATTGATGAAGAAGTCATGAAACTTGCAGTTACCTGAACCTTAAGGTGTTGTTTGGTATATATATATATATATATATATATATATATATATATATTATTTTATGTACGTAGGTATAACTATGCAGAATTTAATTATTCGTATATTAATGATTCTACATCCTATTTTGTAAGATAATACATATATAGAATTCCTATAAATTATACATATATTAATTATATATTAGTTATGTGAATTTCTAAATTGCAAATCGAATATCATATTAATTTTATACATAAATTTATCTCCTAATCAAATACTTTAAATTTTGTGTAATGTTCGTAATTGAGTTTAAGATGTGTCACAAACTAATAATAATAAAGCATAAGATGTGGTAGATGAGGTTGTTTTGTTCGAGTCAAAAACACTTTCCTCTCAAGTGAACTCTATACGACACGAATTTAAAATAGTCAAATTTTAATGCGAATATCCCGGGGACTTAACATAACAGAAGAAGAGACAATGAATCTACATAGTTGACATGGCATGTGTGAACAAATTGAGTTCAATGGGGACATCATGTGGGCAACTTTGCAAAAAAAAAATAATACATTAGTTTCATTTCCTAAGAAATTCATTTGTAATTGATTTGTATAACGTGAATCTGAATTAATTGATTTAATATATTTTGAATATCAAGTGATAGGGGAAATATAAATAGAATGGTCAATTTGATGTGTTATTTATCGTGTCTAAAAGGTCTAATGTAATCAACTAAGCACATGTAATCAGTGACTAAATCAAAATTTTCACTAAAACAATTTAGAATATGAAAAAGTAAACACACGAAAAGAAATTTTTATATGAAACTAAATAGACTACTACACTATTCATCATAAATTTATGAGTATTATTCACAAATAATTAGGCCTACCATCACTTTAGGCCCAAACCCGCTTTCTACGAATGACGACTTTATTGACAACATTCAAATTCAAAACTTCTGATTAAGGATGAAATCGCAATTATTGATGATAGCCAATCATCATTTAAGATAAGAATTAGGTGATCTTACTAATCTAGTTGGTTCAGATATAAACACTTATCTCATTTTTGACATTTATTCTAAGTATATATATATATAATATATTGCATAAATTCACAAGTCTTTGAATATTCAGTTTAGTTGCTTCTCTCTATGTATTAGGGCCCCCCAGATGATGACCAATTAGAGGATTAACATTGGCCAAAAGGGACACTAAGAAAATAATTATTCTTGTTATCCTATCAGAACTTTTCAGCTTCCAACTTGACAATAGATAGTGCCAAAGACTTGGACCGATAGAAAGAAATCACCTGGTGTTTTTCGTCTACGTTCGGATCTTAACCTGAAACCTCGGGGTTCTAAAGTCCCTAGTTATAAACTTGATAAATAGGATTGGAAAACCTCATCCTCAAAACAATAAAGCATCTTTAAAAAATCGCTTACAAGAGACGAGACTCGAGACAAAAAGAAAACATATATCTTAAAGACAGGTGAATTTTAGAACCAGAGTCAATGAGTATGATCTTCCTTTTTGCATCCACACTCATGTACTTCGACCCCGAAGTTATGAGTTCAATTGAACCCACAGAACCCCCCGCCTAGATCCACATCTGCTTAGGTGAATGATCTTACTGAATATAACCATTTCAATATAATGGAAATAAATAATTGAAAAGATGGCTACAAGATTTGTAATAACAAGGCTTAGTTAGGATGAGAATGATGTTACAGGTCAGGACAAATGATCTCAAAAAGAAGAAAATTCATTTACAAACTTGGGGTCCATATGTGGAGTCTGAATCTGATGTATTACATTGTTTATTAGCGTGTCCTCCCTACCTGACAAGAACAATGGAACAAAAATAAAACAAAACAACAGTTATGGATAAGAATTCATTCTCAAATTTTGTCCATCATACTATGTTGTAGTTAGTGATCCTTTCTTTTTCAGATTGCTTTGCCATGCTTTCTATAGTATTTTGCGTAATTTCTTCACTTCCGTTATTTCTTTTTTCGATATGTTTTTTCTTGAGCTGAGACCTATCTACCTGCTAAGGTAGGGTAAGGTTTGCATACACTCAACCCTCCCAAACCTAACTTGTGAGATTATACTAGGTATGTCATCGTTTTTTACATATATCATATTTGTCATTACTTTGGCAACTTAACTTTGTGAACTAAAAGCCTAAAACTTTGGGCTATGTAGGTGTTCTGTAAATGTAAGGTTTGATTAATGTACATTTAATGTAGCACCAAAGCCATTCACTTTGCTTGAATAATAGTCACTGGAATCAACAAAAGATGGTACCTTGGCCCAGCGAGCCGATACAGCAAAATCCTGACTTGGCATCAACTGCACCAAAAAGCCCCTAATCTCAATTGGCATACACTGTCAACCTTACTCTAGCTGTAACTTCTGGATGCAGCTTCAATTCGGCAACATATTCTCCGGTTTCTCGAATCTCAGGCAGATTGACAATTTTCTTGTCCACGTCCCTACAAGTAGATTGCGTGTGAATATACAATAAAGTAGGAAATCAGTTAGTACATCTGATTTCCTTCAAGACTTTATACGACAATTTTTTCATCCCCACCCACCCCTCACTTTTCTTCCTATTAAAAGTAGATAACAGATTTTCAATCCTTTCTACTCTTTCTTTTTTCGGGGACAGAGGGGTAGTAGAAAGCTACTATGTGATCAAGAAACAGACATCACATTGCTTCAAAAAAACAGTTTTTGCTCTAGCAATAGACGGAAAATGGAATCAGTATACTCCACTGTTCTCGATGACTGATGTTAACGAGTAAGTAACATCGCACAGAAGGAATCACACAAGAAAATAAGCACTGCATGAAAAATATTTGAATTACTTAATAAACCAGATGAATCAGAGAACATCAGTTTTCAAGTTCATGCAAATTCATATTACAGGATCAACCTTATGAAGGACAATATACTTTAACAGTCTTCAATGAACATATAGTAGTAATTAGTTCGCATACTACTATTTACATGCTATGGCAGAAAGATTGGAAAATGGTACCTCTGTATCTGTGCTTTTATAATATCAACGAGATCCTGAGCAGTGACACTGCAAGAGAGATGACGTCAAAAGGTAGATCAAATATTCACCAAGTTGCTCATCACAATTTAGTATTTCACTGACCTTCCAAATATTTGCTTTCCTTTCCCACCCTTACGCTTCACCTTGAAGGCTCCAATAGTTTCAAAAATTCGAGCAAGCTGTTGTGCCTCATCTTTCACCTGAAATCAAAAACGTTTAACTAAAACCACATTCATTATGAAACTCTTTTAGACTTTTAGTGACTTGAAAATAAAAAAAAAATGTATATATTTTTCAACTTTCAATAGATTAGATTAATCAGAATAATCTAATTACCCGTTGTTTTTCAGCCTCAATTTTCTCGTCTTCCATCTTCATTTCCCTGAGTAAAAAGTACATAATGTTATAAAATAAAAATGCATCCATGAAGTTAGTTAATTCTCACTGATGGCGAAGCACGCTAATAGCTATCAAAAATATCAAACCAAAATTGCTTCTAACAACCATCTCTAACGAAGCCTTCACCTATTTGTTTTGTTCTTTAGTATGAAATAGCAAATCCCTTATATATAAGACTTTTACAGGACTATCACACCATTAATGTTAACAGCTGGTTAGGCCTATTGCTCACCCAAAAGCTAAAGACAAAGTCACTAAGTAGTAGGAAATCTAAAGTTTTATATCCAACCATTATCCATCTTATGCATTGTGGGACATTGTATTGAAGACGAATCCGTTATCAATAAATTATATTTGGTTAAAAGAAGCGAATTTACTTAAACCTATAATCATTAATCATACGAAGCACTATTTCAGGGAACAAAAGCCATACAGAGTTTGTGTACTGACCAAGAGTTATAACACCAAAGCCATACAGAGTTTCTGCTCAAGGAGTATCGAAAATGATTATTCTGGTACGACCTTTGCACGAAGATATGTATAATCCATGGGTCCGTCCACTTTTCAGCTAGTTACAATTAGTTTAAAGGATCCCATAGACTAAGTATACCTATTTTATCTCCATTCGACATAGGTCCATTGGTTTAGATAAAAGATAAAACAAAACAAGCAATAGTAATAACATACTTCCACTCATCAACAGCCAAGCAAAGTATTGTGTGTGGCATTTTAAATAGTTGAACCAAAGAATCCTGACATTAATTATGAGGCATGAAAATAAGATAACGAACAGAAGAACCAAAGTCTTGAGTTCAATAATAAGGTTAAGTCGATAATTTAACTAGTCATAATGCAGAAACAGACACTTGAACTCGGCATCAACTAGCAAGAAAACACTCAAACTCGGCATCAACTAGCAAGAAAACACTCCAACTTTGAGTATGCACATCTACACCTCAACTCATCTCCACTGTGTCAGTTGAACACTCCAACTTACAAAATGATCATCTAGGCACCAACCAAATATATTTGCCACATCAACATCAGGTGTCCATGACACACTGTGGATTATGCCGTTAAACTATACAGGGTGATTGGAAATGTGAATATTCAACACTTAAAATCAACTAACAGTCTCCAAAAGGAATACTTAAAAATCCATCCAACACAAGCAGAACCAATTTTAACAAACATTAAGGGGGTGTTTTGTAGCTAGTAAAAAAGCAACTTACTCATATATTAACTTAATGTATAAGTAATACAATGTTTGGCAGTTAGTTAGAGAATAAGTTATTCATGTATAAAATCAACACAAAGTTTAATTTGTAATTCAAAAACCTACCTAACTAATATATAATGTATTATCTTATGCAGGTTACAAGACGAAATAACTGATACCTGCGTAACTCTACCAAGCTACCAAACAACCGCGAACTCCACAAAAGTACAGCTAATGAAAGAAGAACCTAAAAGGCAATGAAATCAAATGGCAAAAATCTAGTTCAAAGTAGAGTTAAACGAGTTACTTGATAAGTGCAGCTGTCACAATTTGAGCTTTGCCCAATGGTAGCAAATAATTCCTAAAGAATCCAGCTTTAACATCCAAAAGGTCTCCCTTTTTACCCAACTGTGAAATATCCTCTTTCAGTATTATCTGTTCCATCAAAACAAAAAATACCCAATTCAGCTATTAACCATAAATGGACAAAAAATGAGATTTTGACAATTATAAATCCAACCCATTATCACATTTTCAAGAATTAGCTCACCTTTCGAACTTTCTTGGCTTTTTTCTGAGCAACAATTGTTAAAATTGAAGTTCTTTCTGAAAATTTCACTGTTTCGGAAAATGGGTTTTTGGTTAAGCTGTAATTTTGGAGACAAGAAGATGAACCCCATGACGCCATAGCTAAGTCTTCCTTCTTCTTTTCTTCACTTTTTGCTCCGTTTTTCTGTATTTTTTACAGTTTATAGCGTTATCTTATCTGTAATGGCGAACTGAAGAAGATAATGGATGTCTTAATGGGCCAACAAAACTTATTGGGACAATTCATGTAAAGCCCATTTCTTAGTCCAATTATAATATTTTAGGCTATTTGGGCGAAGGACAGAAATCACATACTTTTAAGGCAAAATTACCATTTGTTTTTTACAAGTATATAATTACAAAAATTTCTCAAATGATACAATAATATATTATTGTATCATTTGATACATTAATCTGATGTGTGAGATACATTAATCATTAAGTACGATACATTACATTTATACATAATACACTAATCTGATGTACACTTTATACAAGATACATTAATCTGATGCGCGATATACATTAATCTGATGCGTGATATATATTAATTTGATGTGCGAGATACATTAATTTGATGTGCTGATACGTTAATTTGATGTGTGAAAATGAGGGATTTTGGAGATTTGTAAAACTAATAGGGGATAATAATAGTAAGAGAACTTAAAAGTGAGATTTCTATCATTTACCCTTACTGAAATACACGTCTTATATTTTCCTTATTTTCATATATCCCCTTTTATTTCTAAAGACCTCTAAAATCCATTATTTCTTTAATGTATCCGAGCTACATATTAATGTATCCGAGCTAGTATTTAATGTATCCGAGTTACATATTATGTATGCGATTTATTTTATAATGTACCCGATCTAGTTTTTAATGTATCTGAACTACATATTATGCATCCGATTTATGCTATAATGCATCTAAGATACTCTTTAATGTATTCGAGTTACATATAAATGTATCCGATTTGTGTTACTTTTTAAGGGATTAATGAAATTACAAACTAAAGAGGGATGAATTATAATTTCATATTAAAATTATGTGATTTCTAAAATTTATCCAAAAAAAACAGCCCAACATAATACTCCATCCGTCTCAATTCATGTGGTGTTGCTTGACTAAGTAGTGGACATTGGACACGAAGTTTAAAAAATATGAAAATACTTTGTATATCTCAAAACTATCCTTAGAAAGAACACAACTTTGTAGACGTTTTGTCGAATAAGTGGGATCCAGTCATCTACAAAATATTGACAGTGTCATTAACTATTTATCAAATAAAGAAATGTATCGTTCTTTTAGAATTGACTAAAAAAAAGTTTGTCATCTAAATCCGGAGGGAGAGTATTTTACATTCACTTAGCCATATTTTTTTCATCAAAGTCATACTTGTAAAAGCGTACTCTTTCTGTCTCTCATACATTATTGTTTTGTATTTACACATATAAATAAGGGCAACTTTCACATATGGCAAATAAAAAATTCATATTTATATGCTATAACAAATTTTGTATATTTGCTTCCTATAGCAAACATAGAAACTGTATAATTCGCTATACATATACAGTTGAAACAAGTTGTATAAAACGAAGTGTATAAAACAAGAAAGAGAAAGATACTTGGGCAGAGAACTGTATAAAAACGAAGTGTATAAAACGAATTGTATTATTATAAGTGTGTAGAACGATTATATACAATTTGAATTTGTATAAAATGAGAAAGAGAGAAACACAAAAGAGACTTGACAAGAAATATACAATTGAATCGAATTGTATAAAATGAGAAAGAGAGAAATTAGATACAATTTGAAAATTTATAAAACGAGAAAGAGAGAAAGGCAAAAGAAACCGGGCAGGAAAGTATTTTTATTGTATAATTATAAGTGTATAGGAAGAAATGTGTATATACAATTTTCTCACGTTTTATACAAACGGAAACGCAATTTATACATTTCGCTTCTGTTTGTATAAGTGATAAAGGCGAGGGGTGGCGAGCGAGATTTGGGAGAGTAGCGAGCGAGATCTGGAAGAGGGGAGAGAGGGAACAAAACTATATGTATTTATACATTTTTCTCTATTTTATATAATTAGAAACAATTTTTATACACTTGTGTTTGTATAAAAAGTGAGGAAGCGAGCGAGAGATTAGAGGAGAGTGGCGAGCGAGATATTTGGGAGAGAGGTGCCTGACAATTTTTTGCAAACGTTTACTATGGAGCATAATTAAATCAAACCCTAGCTACTCTATTTATTTTAGGTTATTAGTTTGCTATTATATACAATTTTCTCTATAAATAATGAATTTATCTTGTATTAAGGTACATACATAAAAATATAGGGAGACTAAACAAATATTCTGTAAAAGTATAATAATTACAATATATAATATATATTTTATATTTTTACGCCACTATATAATTACACTATATACTTTCACCACCCTTAACTAATTTTATTTAACTAATACTAAATCAGTGTCATATACTGTATTGATATCATTGCGATAGATAAATTCACTTAATTAATACTATATATATATATTATTGATATCGTTAAGACTATTTGTTTAAAAATACTCATTAGTCAAAGATACTGGACAAAGAAATTCAGCACGTACTGTTCAATTATTTATTAATTACAAGTTCTTTGAATGACCAAAACTTAGTGTTGTTAGCTCTTATTGAATTTTTACAAGTTTTAGTCTTATATATATTTCATCCGTTCCATTTTATCTGACAAAATTGTTACAAGTTTTAGTCTTATATTATATTCATATAAAAGTTAATATGAATATAATATTTAAACAATTTTATGAATCCCACCTAGTTCAGCCTGTTGCTTTTGTAGTCTATAATGTCATATAATCTAATGGATAAGTTTCTGAGACTTTATTATGTTAAAACGGACAAAAAACTAATTATGGATTATGCATTATCATAATTATATCCAAGCTGAATAAATTATGCATGATAACAACACTCATGTTTCATGAAGTTTACAAGTCAATGCATTAAACATGCAATTCTTCCTAATTATATACTTTTTAACTTTTGACATAAATAAGGATCAAATTAGATGTGTTCAGAATGAAAAAAAATATTTTTATGATTATTTTTTAAATATTTAATTATAAGTAAGTAATTTTTTAATTATAAAAGCATGTTGTATGTAATGTATAGAAAAATATTATGATGGTGGGATGGAGTGGGAGGGGGGGGGAGGGTCGGGGGTGATAGGGTTAGGTAGGTAAGGGGTGCGGGTGTGAAGAAGACATATTTATGAGCTTGAAATGTTATTTATGAAATATTTTGAGCAACTGAACATGAAAAAATTGAATATTATGTTTGGAAATGTTCTTCTCCATCATACCAAACACCCCCCCCCCCCTCGAGGTCCTAATATAAAATTTATGCAAAAAAAAGTTATTTTCAAGATATGAACTATTAACCTCTTGATCACATGACGGTAATTCTTATAATTATTACCATAGATGGAATATTAAAGTAAAATATATACTATATTTACATAAATCTCACAGCTTTAAGAGTTACTACATTATTTCTCTACTCTATTTTAAATTACAATATCTCTTAAAATTTATGAATTAGGATACATCACTATACTTCCGGATACATCACCGGACTTCCGGATACATAGGTGGGGAATGTATTCAAGATGGGATAGGGTGGGGTGGGGGCATATATCAGAGAGAGACTTCTGGATACATCACTAGACATCCGCATACATAGGTGATGAATGTATTCGACAAGAGAGAAGTATTATAGAGGAGATAGGACATCCCGATAAATTTTTGAACTTTCGGATACATCAGCAGACATCTGAATATATACATGGTGAGAAAAGTATCGGAGAAGATTGATGTATTGACAGGGAATTTTTTTTTAAATGGTAGAAATTTTAAAGATTATAGTAAAACAAAATGTGTATTTAGGTAAATTTTTCATATGCACACGCACTTTATTAAATCACTAATAACCAAATTATAAATTATATGAATTTAATGTAATTAGTCAATACGATACGAGTAAGTATTAATCGATATATTGCTTATGACATAAAATATTACAACACATTAAAAAAAATGTCAATAATCCCTACCTAAATAAAGTGACATTTTGTGGTTAGATTCTTCATTCCCAAAAGATTGACTTAATTTAACCAAAAATATGACAGCCCTAAATCCCAAATATAATTAATACAAATGTGGAAATGGTCAGTATAATATCTATTTTAATAAATAAATCTCTTTTAATTAAAATTGCAAATTCATGCGTGAAGCTAAGGTTGACACTAATACTTTGAACAAAAATATATATATCTTTTTAATAAAACCAAACACATAATTGATGTCCAAACATGTTATAAAAATAACAATTAAATATGTACAAGTTTGTGTCTCTACCAACATGGTCGTTATGGTGATGAAATGATTGAGATCTCTCTGTTCTTAATCCTTACGTTTGAATTTGGGATAGAAAATTTCGTTAGAAGCACCACCTCCATATATAATTAATGAACACTGCAAAACGTATATTCAGATTTAGTCAGACTCCAATACAAATATCAAATATCAAATTAAAAAAAAAAGTTAATGTCCTTACATATGATTATAAAATTTCTCTTTCACCTTTCACAATAATTTTGTCTTAATGTAAGACTATGGTAGTATTTGAGGGAGGTCTTAAGTGGTACTTCATATGATTTGAATCTCAAAGTTGACTTACATTTATATCACTATTTCTTTCTGACTTATTATTTTTTTCATTACCAAAACGTCACAAAAAGAAAAAAAAATTACATTATTTTCTTCCCCTTGTTATATGATCAAAAATTTTGAAGAAAAAAAAGTGTGTGTGTGTGTTTTTTCTAAGAGAAAATTTAGGGTTTCTTGAAAATGATTCAAGGTACAAGTAGTAGTGCTAATAATCCACAAAACATACCATTATATTCATCAAATCATCATCCTAATAATAATATTCAAGAAGATATATTTTCTTCTTCTTCTTCTTCTTATCAACAAAATTCATTTTTATTCAACTTATCTCTTCTCAAAGAGAAGGTTCATCAAGTTCAATCACTTGCCACCATGTTCATTACTCCGGATAATCAAACGATTATTCACCCTCCTCCTGAGTCAATATCTATGATCATCGCGAATATGGGAACTTTGATCCAAGAAATCATCACAACTTCTTCTTCCCTCATGTTTTCTTGCCAAAAGATTGTCCTCGACTCTACCTCACTCAGTCAAAATTCAAGTAGATATCGCGAACCATCTCAAAATGATGTTGGTCATGGTCAAGGTCAAGGTCAAGTTGATCATTTGCTACAAGATTATGATTGGTATGTGGATAATTACAATTCTAATTGTAACACACATGAAGATAACAAAAACCATGTTACTAGTAGTAGTACTATTATAGCTAGTAGTACTATTAGTCATGATAATTACTATAGTAAAGAATTTGGAAAAAAGGAATTATTATTGAGTACTTCAAAAGGTAAAGTTGTGAATGAAGAAAATAATTATGATATTGTTGAGTTAGATGCATCTGATTTATTGGCAAAGTATACACACTATTGTCAAATTTGTGGTAAAGGGTTTAAAAGAGATGCAAATTTGAGAATGCATATGAGGGCTCATGGAGATGAATATAAATCTAGTGCTGCATTGAGTAATCCTATGAAGAGAATCAACGATTTAACGAGTGATGGATCGTTGAAATCAAGTAGTAACACGATTAAATATTCGTGTCCTCAAGAAGGTTGTAGGTGGAACAAGAAGCACGCGAAGTTTCAACCATTGAAATCAATGGTGTGTGTGAAGAATCATTACAAGAGAAGCCATTGTCCTAAAATGTATGTGTGTAAGAGATGCAACAAGAAGAGTTTCTCTGTTTTGTCTGATCTTAGAACTCATGAGAAACATTGTGGTGATTTGAAATGGCAATGTTCATGTGGTACTACTTTTTCAAGAAAAGATAAGCTTATGGGGCATGTATCTTTATTTGTTGGACACACTCCACTTATAAAACAAAGTGCAAGATAGCTAGTGCAACAACAACAACGATAAGTCGATAACATATATCAGAGTAGTTCTACGAGTACTTATGCTTGACGAGGGTAGAGCATACACATGTCATATACTATCTTTAACCCCTGGGGTAAAGAGATTGTTTACGAAAGATCCTCAGCTCATATGAGCTAACTAGCTAGTAGATTTTATAATTTACTTAATTGATTTGTAATTGTAATGCACCTATTTTTTGTTGCAAAATGTTGATGTGCTTGTAATTTGATGAATCAATGTGAAAATTAATTATCCTAGCTTGAAAAATATATCATGCCCTTGTGAAATATGAGAAATATAGTATAATAACTTTGTATATTAAACTTATATTGCAACCCTACCTAGTTGCGTATTCTAATGAACAGTGAAGATAAAACTTTGAATCTAAAATCTCTATATGCTTTGGTGCCATGTTGAATTTAACTTGGTAAATGTTTCAATATTTATTCACTTATTAGTTGTTCTGTTATGTACCTTTTTAATTTTAATTTCTTTTGTATTGAAGTGCTTTGATGAAGTTGAAAAATGTGTGTAGCTTGAAAGACATATTCTACCTTGTGAAATATGATTAATAACAGTAACGTATAGCTTTATAATATTATATATGTATTTTCGATATGATAAAAGATATTTGTGAGACTTGAATTCAGATTAAAATATTACCACATATGAACACTTTATAACTAAAACCATAATAAGGCTATAGAAATGACACATCGTAAATTTTGCTAAATAGATATAAAAGATAAATTTTGCTACATATCTTAAATACAATTCATCATTAATACGTGCTTTCAGGGATATAAAAAACGATAAAAAAATAAAATTTCCGAAAATTCACAATAAATTGATATTTAACCGTTAAATTATTCCTTTCATCAAACGGCAAATATCAACGATCCGCGCAAACTACATTTAACCAATAAAAATCACCCACGTGGATCCTTCAAAACTAAATCTCAGCCGTTCTTTCTACATTTAAATCAACGGTCCAAAATCACGATCCGCGTCAATCCAAAGCAGCCAATCAAAACTCAAACCTCAAAACAACAAACTCTATAAATTCTCCGCCTTTTCTTCTTCTTCCCTCCATCAACAAACTCAATTTTCTCAATTCAAATCTCTTTTTCACTCACAACCCATTTTCAGATTCTCAATTTCAGTTCCAATGGCACCAAAAGCAGAGAAAAAGCCAGCAGAGAAGAAGCCAGCTGAGGAGAAAAAGGCTGAAAAAACCCCAAAAGCAGGGAAGAAGTTACCAAAAGAATCAGGTTCTTCTGGTGCTGATAAGAAGAAGAAGAAATCTAAGAAGAGTATTGAAACCTACAAGATCTATATCTTCAAGGTTCTGAAACAAGTTCACCCAGATATTGGTATCTCAAGCAAATCTATGGGGATTATGAACAGTTTCATCAATGATATATTTGAGAAACTTGCTCAGGAGTCATCAAGATTGGCTAGGATTAACAAGAAGCCTACAATTACTTCAAGGGAAATTCAGACTGCTGTTAGGCTTGTTTTGCCTGGTGAGTTGGCTAAACATGCTGTTTCTGAAGGAACTAAAGCTGTTACTAAGTTTACTAGTTCTTAGATGTAATGGGTGCTTTTCGGTTATTGGTAATTTGGAGAATGTAAAGGTAGTTGCTTTTTGTTGTACTTGAATTTAACAGTAATGAATATGAATGGATGTGTTTTTCTCCAATGTGATTTGTAGCTTTTGTGTTTTGTGCTGTTTCTGAGTAACAATACTTACAAATCAAATATCTGCTATTTATAGAGAAAGTTCTTAGATGATATGTTTAGTCAATTTCAGCATGTACATAATCAACAAAGATGAAATTTTTCTGTAATTCGTGTAGAATGTATGCTAATCCAGCACTTATAATTGCTAATGAACCCAATATAATTCGTAGGTTAACATCTGCAGGGATGCCTGCAGATGCACAGCATACCACTACTGAGCCAATCAGTAACTTTTGTAACTTCTCGAATGTGTAGTAAGCCTTTTTGCAAGATGAACATTTGAGTGTATGTTGTTCGAATCTGTCCATCATCTGTAAAGTTGTGAAGATTCAGAATTAGTAACAGTTCAAGAAAATATTTGATTGTTTGTATGCTTGTTTGGGATTGAGGCGTAGTAGTAGTAGTAGTTGTATGCTTTTGGTGGCAATGAAAGTTTGGTATTAGTGAAAATGGATCATAGGAAGAGTAGCAGATTGGAGTTCTGAGAATCGGTACCTGGCGTTTGGATAAGACAGTAGATGGCAGTGGTTGGTTGTCTGTGCTACCAAACCATTCAGGTTGACTATTGCCATGCCGTCTAAGCCAATTTCGGAATGCCAAGACGAAACGATCAGCTTGAGTAGGTGTAAATGTGAGTTTTGTATACTCTTTGTTGACATCAGTACCATTTTCTTTCGACTTTGAAAGAAAGACTTTTTCTTGACCTTGAAGAACAATCATATCCCCGTCATACACCTTATTTGAAGTCCAGTGTTCTTGCCATCTTGGAAAAACCTATTGCCAACACATCATGAAAATTCTTAGACGTTATGATAATATATTAGCATGATAATATATTGCTAACCAAATATTATTACCTGCCACCAAGCAGGCCCAGGCACTGTAAACTGGAAGAAGTTTCGAGCACTACAAACAATTGACCTGGTCTTTCCTGGTGCCATAGGTACATTAAAGGAACAAATCCATATCACCCACTTCTGATCACCCACGATTGGAAGCTTTGTGTCGATCTCTATTCTGGAAAATTTTCCAATGAGATCTTAGTCATACTATGCAAATAGTTGCAGCATGGATGGAGCTAACATTTACATATAAAACGTAATTCATACAAAGATATAAAGACATGTATACCAACAACAAAGCGAACTTCCATCTATTGATGCGCAAAGCCTTGTACAAACCATGCACCTGGTCTGGAAAGCTATACCTTAAAGAACCCGACTTGAACAGGATATAATGCCCACAACCATAAGAGTATAGATACATAATGCTACTAATGTCTCGTTTTGTTAGCAGATAACAGACTCTGTGAAGTAGGAGAAAGAGAAATGTGATGCAAGCATATCTACCTAAAGATGATTAATTTATACATGATTGCTTGCCTTGATAGTCAAGAAATTTGATCTACTTTAGGATGATGAACTTACTTATTCATTGAGTAACAAGGTGCGACAAATTTTGCAGTAATTTTTGGTTTATCATTGTTCGCACCAGCAAAACCCCAAGGTCCAGATGCCTCCATCTTGAATGGCAAGGGCTTTGCTCTGTCTCGCCTTCCAGTAACCTGTAAAATATCAACAAGTAAGTTAAGAGACATGTGTTGTTGGACACCAAGCAAGCAGCAGCAGTATCACTCTAGTAAAAATGCACATCTATATATACACCGTATTCTGTTATCTGATACATGAAGCCCTTTGCTAATAATAAAGTCGTTTAGCGACTGAAAAGATGAAAGCTCTACTTCAGATCTTTCTGAAATTTATATTTACAGATAGATACACACAACATTGTCTGTAAAGGTTATTTTAAGGATCGTCTGGCACGCTGTTCAGTATCTAGACTCCAGAGAGCCTAATCCTGTCAGCTGAATATGAAGCAACATCCAGAGTCAAAACATGTTATTCAGCATCCACACTCCGGATAGCCTAATCCTATCAGCTTCATCTTTTAAGATGGTAAGATCGAAAAACTATCCATAAATTGATAAAAGTAGCACTGAAGTCATAAGAGTGATAGTTAAGATTCCCATGGCGTACTTCTACCTATTGCTCTCCAAGTATGGCTTTTACCTAATAATTGCACAGAAAGTAAGGTTATGAAAACTTGTATAAAACAATGAGCAACACTCAAAAGCTACACCTTTATACCGTTCCAGATAAAGAGAAAATCCTCCAAGGAACGACCTTATATATGTTTTGGCCAAGCACAGCGAGCTACTTGGCTTAAGAGTTCAAAAGTTCACTTTTTTCACATGTGAAACAGTTTGAGTTCATATTTTCATGGAAATCAAAAACCAAACAACCCGTAGCTTATGAGAACTCAGAACTAACCCTGAAGACTATTCATTTTTAGCATGTAAGGATAAAACCTTAGGTCTGAAAGTGGATTCTTAACTATATTAGAAGCCAAAAAGGAATGAAAATGTTGCAAAAAATACCTTGTGGTGTGCAAAATCAATGTGAGAAGGATCAGAGACGTTCTCCATGAGAGTGTCATAGCCATAAAACAAATCACGCTGAATTGTCACAGTTGCAAACTCAGGCTTATCAAAATCTTCAGGCAACCTACAAATATCCCATTAAACAACAAATTTAAATCCCACTAAAAGTATACTCAAGTCTACCAACTATAATATCTTGATCAACGCGATAGGTAGGGGAATGGGATTCGATTCTTCAACCACACATGCAGGGCATCAACCAAGTGAGCTACCAAATCAATCTCATTATCCAGCAATAGCTTAAATAAAATACGAAGAACATATTTTAAGCAAGTCATTGTACTAAAGATAATCGATTAGTATTATAATATAAACCAAGTCACTATAGTAGAGATTAATATATAATAATATAGCATAACTTCGAACTAGTTTAATTAATTATTCAGAAACTTACATGGGCGGCTTTGTTGCCTGAGCTCTCTCCCATCCATTTTCATCAGGCCAAACAAAGAGTAATCCTTGAGAAACCATAGTAGGAAATCTAGTAGCACAAGCTCTTGGAGACTGAAAAGCTTTAGCTTCAGGTCCTTGAGATGCAGCTTGAGGTATCCTTGTACAAGAACCACATCCATTAAATGACCATCCATGATATGAACACTGCAAATCACCATTTTCATCTAATCTCCCTTCCTACAAACACCCATACATCAAAAACTTTAAAGAGGAGTGCTAAAAACACATATAAAAAGTATCCTCAAGCAAAATCGAGAAGTGGATTTGTACAGATAAAGGAGCAAGACGATGAGGGCATTTGTCATCCAAAGCAACCCACTGAGATCCAGATTTATCAAACCAGATAACTATATCACGATTCAGTAGCTGAAACGGTGTGGGTAAACTCGGGTCGAGATCTTCCACTAATGAAACTGGGTACCAATGATCTCTCCAAGAGAATTTCGACGACGAATCTTGTTCATCATTTTCTGTATCTTCAATATCACTAGATTTTGAATCTAGCTTCTCTTCTTCTTCAGTAGCTGTTGTTGTTGTTGGAGGTGCAGCTACTCTAAGAGGAGATGAAATTAGCGTATTTTTTTTCCTTGTAATTTGAAGAAAATTATGAGGTTTGAAAGGTAGTGAAGACTGTAAGGAAGATGAAATTGAAAGAATTTGAGGAGTTGGTAGTAACAGAGAAGAAACCATTATTGAGTTAATCAATGTTTTGTGTTACTAATACACATATGTTCAAGTAAAGAAGAAGAAGAAGGATTTGCGTGCAAGTTATGAACAATGTGTTTGAATTGGAATTTGATGAGTTTTGTGGTTTGTGAGGGAGGGCCCAGAAAATGAAAGCTGTGGTGGTGGTGCTTTAGGGAGAAGAAGAGACCGTGTTAACGCGGAGTGGTAAATACTTCTTTTATTTGGTTAGAGTTCTTAGGCTTGACTCATTCGAATATGGAATCGTATTTTTATTAGAGAGCTCTTTATTCTCAACGTGACACAAATTCAAATTTGATTAGGTTACACATGATAATAATTGTGAAAGTAAAGAGGAGATAAAATCAATGGTTAAATGTCAATAGCAAAATATTTCTATTACACACTTTCAACTCAAAATTTTAAAAAAATATATTTCTAACATGTGTTTGGAGTAAGGACTAAGGAGTGGAAAAGAAAATGATCTTGAAATGTCACAATATTTAGATAAGTTATTTAGTATAATTTCATAATATATCATATCGTAGCATATTACATTATATATTATTTTGATAAAAATATATTAATATATCCTATCGTTATCGATTGAATGTCATAATCAATACTTACAAGAAAATAAGATAGATCTAAGATCGAAAAAAAGATGAAATAAAATTATTAAACAAAATGAGAAGAAAGAAAAATAAAATTATAATACAGTCACACCAAATTGATGATTATACAAAATAAAAATTTTTCAATGTTATCTAATAATAAATTTAACAATACAGTACAGTAATAAAAGAGTCATTTTCTTAAAAGATTTCACCAACCAAATATGGAAAATATGTCAAAACACGCCCTAGTAGCAACAATTTTCTTCTTTGCTTTTTTTTTCTATTCATAAAAAAAAATCTAGTTCTATTCCCAATTCCCACCAATGTTTTCCTTTTCTTTTACTTGAATTTGGTATGAAAGTAAGTGCCTTCTTCCATTTAAACCAAATCATTAAAAAGAGGGGGGGAAAAAAAATTCAATTTTCCCTTTCTTTTTACCCTCATTTTCAAACTTCTTACTGAAAATTCTAGCCCCGTTCCACGCAGCATATTACATATTGTTGTTTCTGAACAATAAAGCAACATCACACTTACATATCTGAAAATCTCTAAAAGAACAATTTTTCTTGAAACAGTAGTGTCCAAGCTAGATAGGACGCTCCTCGATCACACTCTCAAACATGCAAATTTCCTCCAGAGTTTTCGATAACAATGGTGTCCAGGCCAGCTAGGGTGCTCCTGGATCACTCTCAAACATGCTAATTTCTCCTGAGCCAGTTTCAACAGACTCTCATTATTATCTCTTTTCATTGAATAGAAAGAAAAAGGGGAAATCTAGAGTGACTTCAATAACTAGCAAAACTAATATCTAATCAAGAAAGATGTTATTTCTTAGGGTATGTTTGATGATCAGGTCCAATATCACGCGATCCCGTGTTGATGTAAGGGCCACGAAATGTCGCCTGGGGTGGCAATGGCTTTGATGAATCAATGACTGGAGTTGCCCTTGATGATCTTGACCTGAATTGAAACAATGAATTAGCTTACAATTAAGCAAAACAATATGAAAGATCACCTCTTTATTTATTTGACAAGCAATGAAGTCTTGCTTACGCCATGTAAAACGGAAAGGATAAGCCAGCAGATGCAAAGACTAGCAAGCCTGTGGCAACAATGACATTGCGTTTCCGAGACATCAAGTGAGATGAAGTAGGATGTTTAAGTATCTAACAACTGAAAAAAAGAAAAAGATGAGGAATAAGTGACAGCCGGAAAAGAAATCCAGGAATGAAAACCATTAAACTTCAGTCACAAGTTACAACTCTATAAGAATATTTAAACATGCAGTATATCTTTTAGAATCTTGCTCAAAGCAATATGATTTTGAGGCAAAATACTATCTTCCAGAAAACCAAAAGAATTAATGTCTACACGTAACAGTTCAAAGTTTCTTTAACAATATTCACACGGATGAAGAGATATCAAAGACAGCATGAATAATAGGATTACGTTTGGGCACACCTCAGTACATCTTTCTGCTCTACATAACAGTTCAAAGGTCACACGAACAATATTTATAAAGGTAAAGAGACCATCCAAGATGGCATGAATGATAAGATTCCGTGCAGGAACACTTGCAATATATCATGCTGCTAAGTGATGCAGGAGACGAGGCTTCCTCCTTGGTCACTACTAATGACAACAATGATTTTAATTCATAAACTGTTAGGTAGTAACCGGTTGAGTTCTGATATTAGGAATCTTTATCAGTACAGAGACCCTACCTCTACCTTTTAGGTGAAATATAAGTGTTTAGCAGTATGGGGGCACAAATATCCACGTGAGTAATCACAGTAAATGCTCTGTTATAGAATATATTCCCATGGATATTTGGTATTGAGGAAGAAAAGAACAGGGGCGAGGACTTTTCAATCATTTACCCAAATTTTGGTTCTTTACATCTCTTATACTGAATGTTTTGAGAAGACGATACCTTAACCTGAGACGACGACCGTATATACCCATATTGAATACCCCCATCTATTTTCACAGAAGTACGTAGAGATAACTAATACAGAGCAAATACCATTGCGTTCCCAATTCCATTTACTAAACTTTAAATAGCACAAGAAATCATTTAATATTCCTTTGTCAAAGAAAACGTTTTGAACTTTTCATTATTCATGCATGATTAATATACTTCAGTTGCTTCACACATTGAATACATCAACAACATAATCGGTGAAATCCAAGAGTGGGCTTTACTTCAGTTGCTTCACACATCGAATACATCAACAACACAATCAGTGAAATCCAAGAGTGGGCTTCATACATCATATAAAATGTGCTTATTGCTGATGGGTTTGAGATGCAAATTTATACTATGGAAGGGATTTTCCATCCAATGGGAACCTCTCTCAATCTAGTGAGCTCATTTACATCATGATTGAAAACTCCCAATTTTGGATCCAGTATCCCCACTGCAACTCCTATTTATGATGCACTTATTAACTAAACTACTAGGAGAATTCCTCCGAAGCACCAAAGGATGTGGCCTACTGGTCAATGAAGTGGGAACAAACTTTGGAGACTAGTGTCCATATCCCAGAGACAGAAAACTCAAGGTGTTTTTTCCATCTACTAAGCCTAGGTTAGCAAAGTTACATGGTACCTATGCTAGCGGGAAATAGCGGGTACCCCCTTGTAATATTCAAGATGCATATAAGCTGGCCCAGACACAATTCTAATAAGAATTTTTAAAAAAGAAAGTCATCCGAAGAGATTGTTTGAAAAGCATTGGAACAAGCAGTGTGTCATGAGATGGCATACACATTACACAATTCTTATTTGCTAATGACACAAATTTCCAGTGAATCTCAACAAATCAGATATTGTTTGAAAAGGTTTTACAGTTTCAGGCAGTATCTGGTTTGAGCATTAACATGAGAAAGCAAGAACCGGTTTGGAAGGTGCACAGATATACACACCATTGTCAAGGTGGGAGAAAACACAAGGTAGATGAACTTATCACAATTATTGGTCTTGTTAGGAGGAACAATCAAGGATGGTTAACTTCCGGAACTAGTTATTTGAAGATTTGAAGAAAGTAGATAAGAGTGGCGGCTGGAACAATAGTTCTCTAAAGGAAGGACAACGATTGGAGCAACACTATCAAGTATACCACGTGCTCTTCAGTCTTTTGTTTAGACATTTGCAGGAATTAATGAAGAACTTATTACAGGATGATAGTAACGGAGAGCACCAACATGTTAACTATGATAAGGTCACCTCGAGCTAAATATATTTGCAGACCAGAGATCTATAACAGAACACTACCCAAAAAAAGGTTATGTCGATATGCAAATGAAGCCTCAAAGAACAAGCCATGCAGAGGAAGGCAACAATTTGGTTGGTTAACAAAGGAGGTTGTCTTTGATATACAGAATGAGTTTGCAGGCAGGGACTAGTAAATATTAAACAGGATTTACCAAGTTAATAGAAATGTATAGTAAAAATAAAAGTAGACTACAGTTTTGGCTTGACTGATGATGCAGACAAAATACCGAGAAAGATATTTCTCACAGGTAAATGAATGAAAGCATATTGTGGATCAGAAAATGTAGATGTGGCCAATATAGTCAATATTCACTCTTAGGTATCTCATTCATAATAAGAAGAAAAAGAATGTATCTTGGCACCAAACCTCGAATGCATCATTTCAGCAATGATCAATGTAGCTTAACTAGCTACAGATTCAACCGAACCCAGTATTTTCAACACGTGAAAAACACTTCAACAACAGGCAGTGTAATCCCACAAAGTGGTGTTCGGGGAGGGTAGACTGTGTGCTGCAGACATAACTCTTACCTTGGAGGTAGAGAGACTGTTCTCAATCGACCTTCAGCTCAACCATGAAAAACAGTATTAAAATGAATAAGCCCTAACAAAATAGTACACTCCTGAACAATAATGACAACAAGATAATACGATAATCGAAGTACCAGCAATAACAAATAGTAACCAAACACAAAAAACTACTAGAGTAATACTACGAATAATGGTATGGAAAGAAGCCCACAAATTTGAATTCACCAAATATTATATATTGAACCCATAATTTCAAATCAAACTTTAAATCTTATATCTGCCCTCTATTCACTACATTACAAGGAGCCTACAAAGTTCTATTAATCAAATGTTAATATTTCCCCAAAAATGCTGAACCTTTTAACAAGATCAAATTACACCACATATCGAACCCTCACCAACAAAGTAAAAGTTCAGATACTCAACCAACTGAGCTACGATTATCCGAATGACAAATTCAGAGAATCGTAGTGAATTCAAAGAAAAATTGAAACTTTACCTAGATAAATCTATGGAACTGTGGAAACAGGGTTCTCCGACGAACAATCGCCGGCGAACTGAAGGTTTTTCAGCCCCGATGATCTCTTCTCCTCTATTGGCTGTACCCGACCCGATTGACAATTTTGGTGGTGTTCTAAATGGACCATTATCTTTTCCGCTTTATTTATTTTTCTTAAAACAAATATTTTCAATTTTATTACTTTAAATAGTAACTACACATTTCATTGAGAATATTATTCATATATACAGTAATAAAAGTACAAGATTAATTATTTTAAATCTACAAGCATATCCATTTTTTTAATGGAAATAACATCTTAATGTGTACACAGTACATATATCATCATATCTTTTTCAAATTTTACTTATTGAATGTTTTATTATCATAATAAATTCATATTATTTATAATAAATATGTAATCATAATAAATTCATATTATTTATAATAAATATGTAATCATAATAAATTCATATTATTTATAATTATTCATTTAATATATAGAAAGATACTTCTAGAATTATTTATTATCTTTCTTCGTAGATTTTTATTAGCGTGAAATTACATTTTTATCATTGATCGTCCTCCACTTCTCTCTTGTATATAACAGAAAATAATATTGCAAATATTTATTATATAGTTTTTTTAAAAAGATAATTAGGGAGTTTACAAATAATTCAAGCAAATAAATTGCAAATAACTCAAACATGCATTTTTTTATATCAAAATCAAGCAAAATAGATTATAATTTACTCAAACATGCAATTTGTAAGTGGTTATAATGAGTGTTAAGGATACTTCCTATTCTATTTGTTTAAAAAACCTTGCAACATTTTTTTTTATATTTTATAAATAGGAAGTCAATTTGAATTACTTATACTCACTAATAGATTTAAAATCTTGAAGTCTCAAGTGGATCCACTCATAACGTGTCTGTAGAAGGACGACCAACTTTAGGTGGTCATATCTATCTTTTAAATTGTTCCACAACACCAGAGGATCCTTAACAGTGAGATATTCCATTTTCAAATCCTCATCAAGGTGATGACGGAGAAATATCATCGCCTTAGCACGGCTTTAATTCAATGCTTGATTATTTTCTTGAATGGTGTCTGCTAGACCCATCGCATCAAGATGAATTTCTGCATCGAGTACCCATGATAGATAGTTTTTTTCGATATGTCTAGAGCAAGAAATTCAAGTTTAGAGAGATTAGACATTATTTAAGAAAAGGAAATTTATACCTCCGAGGCTTTTAAAGTCTTTACTTGAGCTGACAGAGACTCGTGCTGATAACATGTTATAAAAGAACTTATGAAGATTAATAAAATAAAAAAAAGAAAATTGAGGAAGTAATATATTTCAAATATATATATATGTATTTATATGTACTGTGTCTATTTATAGCCATGAGCTTAATGTACATATGTATAGCTTGACCTTCTTATTGGCCAAGTGATGATATCCTACTAATGGGAGAATTTCACGTGGCATGCATAATTGATTTGCACATCATTTACAAGTGATGCAATACTTTTAGTGGTCAGAATCCACGTGACACTCAAAAATACTTTACAACAAATTTTGAATTTTTGAAAACACTTTTATAAATTATTACTTTCTTCCTAAATTATTGACAAATTCAAAAATATATTTCTAATAAATTAATTATTAGAAATAATAAATGATTTTAAATTAATGTAAAAGCATGAGATTTTAATTAAAAAAATTAAAAAGAAATTGAAAACACGCTAAATTTGATAAAAAAAATTGAGGTGTGTATTTTACTTGTAATACGAAATTAAATATATATTTAAATTCAATTAATCAAATTAACAAGTGTTCGTTACGAGAATGAAGCTACAAAACTTCATCCAAAATAGGAGTGTTTTTGCAGTACTTGTTCTCTTTTAATTCTTATATCAAATTAACTAATATCACGTAAATTAAAATAAAATTGTAAAACATCATATGTACATTTACCTTTAAAATTTTTATATCAAATTAAAAATGTCGTATCATATTTTACCCTAGGTTAAAACACGTGTAATTTTTCACTTTAAAAGTTCACCATCTCACCGTTCCCAAATTTCAACTCTCACTCCGAAACACATCGGCAAAATAACCATGACCCACTCACGCTCTCGGGAAAAATCTAACACCGCCGTGAACCACCGTACAAATTCCCCCAAATCACCGGAAAATTCAACGCTTCCACCGATCACCAAAACAATCACAAAATCTGCTGAAAGTCACAGACTCTTCACCCTAAGCGACGAAATCGCACTCCTCAAAACCCTATCACAATCCCCAAACAGCAACGAACTCCGAACTGGAAACTTCACCGAGGCGCAAATCGCGAATAAGCTGAAGAAACTGAAAGAGAAGTACCACAAGTTGGCTAGATCCAAATCCCAAATCAAAACTCCGCACGACGGCGAGATTTACGAAATTGGGCGAAAGATTTGGGGTCGAAATGCAGCTAAGGGAAAGGAGTTATTAGTAGTAGTAGGAGAAGAAGATCATGATGAAGATGAAGATGTGAATTTGGATGATTTTTCTTTTTTGGTAAATGAAATGACAATGGTGTTTCAGAGGAATGAGTATTGTAAACAAGGGTTAAGGAAATTGGGGAAGAAGAAATTGATGGAGATGAATGAGAAATGGATGGAGCTGAAATTGAAAGAATCTGAGCTTATGATGAATAAAACTCAGCTGTATCATGAAAACCTCAAAGTTGTTGTTGAAGGTTCAAAGGGTTCTAACAGTAGCAATTGAATTACTAGTTGAATTGAGAGATCTTTCGATCGATTTAGTTAGTTAGTTGAGTAATTCACAGGTAATGTGAACCCTTCTAGATGTGAACCTTAATTCAGTATGAATGCTTCAATTTTTAGTTTGAAATTCTAGCCAAAATGAATGATATTTTGTTCTTTGTTCAATTGCTTAGACCTTAGAGAGCTTCTAAGCCAATAGTTTAACATGGTATCAGAGCATTCGATCCTGGCTATCTAGTAGTAGTTTTATAGCTTAGATTAGATATCCTTTAGCTATGTAGTTGAAGATTACAACAATGGCAATCACAAAGATTGATCCTTGACACATTGGCCAGTCAGAAGCGACAGGTTCGGAGAATTATGGGATCTAGAGCAGGTCAATGAAGATTGCATTACTAGGGAAGAGAAAGTATAGTTTCGTTATGGGTGCTTGTACCATAGCTTAAAAGGCATAGTAGGTTTCACTGTGTTGTGTGACTCTGATGGGACTGCTTTGTCACAACACTAGAAGGTCCATTACAGGCTATGTAGTCAAGTTCGGTGCTGTCTTTGGTGTCTTGGAAGTCTAAGAAATAACAAATTGTTTCCACAAGCTCAGCTGAAGTCGAGTATAGAAGCATGGCTTACAGAAGCATGGTTAATAGGATTTTTCACTGAGCTAGGAGTGCCCAATCCAATGCATGTCACTATTTTGAGTGACAGCAAATCAGCTATACAATTCGCAGCCAATCCAGTATTACATAAAAGAAGCTAAAACATAGGAATAGGCTATCATTTTATCACGGACAAGATGAAAGCAGGGGTGATAGAAACTATCGATGTTCCTACTCAACAACTTGTAGACTTGTCGACAAAGGGGTTAAGTCAAGCTCAACATTCATGCTTTTAAGGCAAGCTTGATGCTTTGCACCCTTTCGCTTGAAAGGATGTGTTAAATGATGAGACGATGACATTAGTTCACCATTAGTTCACTGTTTAGCAGATGGTTATAAGAGTCGATAGCAAGCTGCTTAGATTATTGTTAGGATGACAAGTGATGTCAACCTTTTAGATGCTTCTAACTAAGTCTATAAAGCATTGATGAATGCTTCAATTTGTAGTCTGAAACTTTAGCCACAATGAATAAATATCTTCTCCCTTCCTTCTTTTCACAGTTCTTCTTTGTTCAACACTGCTAAGAGAGCTTATAGTTGAACAAGTTATTATTAGAATTAGCCTCTCTCCCTTATTCAAGGTAGGGATAATGTTAGCATACATTTTACCCTTCTGAGGCCTCATTTATGTAATCATCTATAAAAAACGGTCTACATGTCTCATCCAAGTAGGGATAACATAACTTACATTTCACCCTCCCCAGATCTCGATTATGGGATCACACCAGTAGTGTGGTTGGAAAAGAAAATCGATTCAGAATAATTGTGATTTGAATTTCTTAGTGTAGCTACGATGTAGAAATATTGAAGTAAAAAAAATGGCAAAATTGCAAGTGGAATTGTAACATGCTATGATGATGTTTTTCAATTGATGTATAATATTTGTTTGGTAGTTTTGATTAACAAATTTATTCAGTTAATAAATCTCAAAGCAGATTGAAAAAACCTTGGGACTATCTACAACCACATTATGAGTTCATTTTATCAATCAAAACAGCGTATTATCTGAGATAAGTCCAAGTAAAATTCATTCAACATATCATTATCTATGTTCCTAAAGGACGTGGAAGGAGGGGCAAAAGGCGTTTATAGTTCTAATTGACGTTAACAAGTAATAGTAGAACAAGAATCACACATTTCTTCCAGTCTTTGATCTAAAATTCCTCTTTGTTAAAAGCCAACAGGAGAACACAGTAATATGGTAAAATAAACAAAGATATGGAGTACGTTATGAGTAATCGTTTCACAGAACTGTAAGTATGAGAACTAGGTTTAGTGGTCCTCCACATTAGTATTCAATGATAACACTTGCTACAAAACTCAATACCTGAGCAATATGGTCCACATCCAGCATCTGAAATGCAGAAGTGATTCAACCATGACTAAAAAGATGCCAACAAAAAAAGGAAGGGCGTCAACATCACAAGAATTAAAAGGACAAGCATCTCATCCAATACATGACTAAACCAAACAGATCCAAAATGTAGGATGCCAAAGTACAGGTCAGAATCCATCCAAGCACACGGATATAAAATCTGATTGTTAAAAATACGGGAATTCAAAACCTAAACTCCACAAGAGCTAAGCATTACAGTACATAACATCCTTAAGAATCCAGACATTTAACTAGACATCCATAAAACTGTCTTATCATTTCTAGATGAAATGAACATTACTATCTGTATATGACCTGATTCATTAGGAAAAATGAAACGAGAGACATGTTTCTTCACTTGGCAAGCAGAACTTGCTGAGTCTGGTTCTCTTGTTGCTGCTGATAGTTCAGTGGCCTCCTGAAGAGCATGATATGGGGCTCTGGTCGATGAATAGCATAGTGAACCCATCCTCTGCTCTGCTGAACTCCAATTGCCCTCCACTCATTCTAAGAATCAACCAAATAAGACAAACAACATAAACCACATGCAAAAGAACAAAGCCACATTCCAGATGAGATTTCTTTTAGAGCAGCAGAACAAACTAATCTAAATAGTTGGGCACTATACCATTTATTTAATCAGCACATCCAACTAAACATTTCAATTGAAGATATTCCAAAAATGAAAGCACAAAATATCACTGTATATCATTTACTAAGCACAATTAGCACGTCTTTTGTGCACATTCAACTAATCATTTCAGTAGGAATTTTTCGGAAACAAAAGCACAAAATATCACTGATTATCACTTGCTAGGAAGTAATATCTCTTATATTAATTAGCACATCTGACTACTCATTTAAATCGAATAAATTCCAAGATGGAAGCACAAAATGTCATTGATTGTCACTTGCTAGGCACACATCACTATCTTGATCAGCACATTCAACTAATAACAATTTCAATCGAAGAAATTCCTAAATTGAAAGCACAAAATATCACTGATTATCATGGGCAAGGCACAATTATTACTTGTTTTGATTAGCACATTCAACTGATCATCTCAACTGAAGATATTCCAAAACTGAGAGCACAAAATATCACTGCCTACCATTTACTTCGCACATTCAACTAATCATTTCAGTAGAAGAAATTCCAAAACATTATCACTGATTATCACTAGCTAGGCACGTTATCTCTTATCTTGATTAGCACTTTTGACTAATCATTTCAGTAGAAGAAATTCTGAGATGAAAGAACAAAATGTCACTGATTTATCACTTGCTAGGCACCATATCAGTTATTTTGACTAGCACATTGGATTAATCATTTCTATCGAAGAAGTTCCAAACTGAAAGCATTATCACTTATTTGGATTAGCACATTTCAATCGAAGTTCCAAAATGATAACACAAAATATCACTAATTATCATGTGCTAGGAACAATTATCACTTACTTACATGAGCACATTCCACTAACCATCTCAATAGAAGAAATTTCAGAATGAGAGCACAAAAAATATCACTGATTATCACTTGCTAGGCACAATAATCATCGTCATCACTTAATTAGATTAGAACATTCCATTAATCATTTCAATCAAAGAAATTCCGAAATGAAAACACTAAATATCACTGATTATCATTTGCTAAGCACGATTATCAATCAACTAATCATTCAAATCGAAGAATCTCCTAAATGAAACCACAAAACATCACTTATGTTAATCTGCTAGATCAACAACTCCACGCAATTCAACTAAGTGAAGAAAATGAATACATACAAAAAACCTAAGAAGTAAAACCGATCACTCACTTCAGATAGAAGACGATTCTTAGGAAGCAATTTCGCTACATCAGGAGGAAGAACAACATGCCTGCAAAATCCAAAATCCAGCAAAAACAAAAAAAAATACGAATTAATTGAAAAAACAAACAAAAACACTACAAATTCAAACCGATTAAGCAAACAGAATACCTGTACTCATAGGTATCATCAAAATACTTCTCAGAATACTGGATCTGTCCCATTTATCAGTTCAAAAACTACTGAAAACAAAATCAAATTCATCAACAACAAAAAAAGCTGAATTAAACAGATCTGTAGTAACTGGAGAAAGCAGATTCAGTAAAATTGATGAATTAAGCAGAAACGTTTACCTTTGTGTTGTTCGTAGACGAGAAATGGATGGAAAATGAATGGGGGAAAAGAGAGGAATATGGAGTGCTTTATTCTGAAATTTGGGCGAATTTGTTTGAATTAATAAATAAGCAAAATTATTATACCTCATTTAAAAGTTTTTAAATGATTAAAAAGGGAATAACGGCACATTTTTAAATTTTGAATTTTGAATTATTTTCCCGCTTAGTTGAAAAAGTTCTAGAGGTTTCCATTACACGTGGAATTTCTAGTTTTTTTAATAATAATAATTTTTTTGCAATAGAGAAAATTAGAGTTATTTACTGATAACAGTTATTTATTTATTTAAAAACAAATTTATAATGAAAACTCAGCTACTTTAGTGAATAATTATTTCCTTTATATGGTTTATATTTTGGATTAGGTTGAGTGATGGTTTTCAGCTAATTTTATAGTCAAGAATGAACTTAAATTCAATTTAAATCATTTAACAATGATGATTTAGACTCATCATTCTCTGGTTTAGCTCAATTTGACAAAGATTAAGAGAGTAGCGTCTTAAACTACAAATGAATGGAAAAGGTTATAATGGGGCACATCACCCTTCCGAGTTTCAAAGGTTGCAATTGGTCCAAGGAATTTGAGTGATCAAAAACATTATAACAAGAAAGATAGAATTTCCCAACCAAGAGTCTATCGGAAACAGTTTTCCAGTCAAGGGTTTATCGAAAACAGTCTGATAACTGGATAAGGATAAAACTTATTTACATTAGTCCTCCCAAAACTCCACTTCAAGTACTCTTAACTCTACCCGTCAAAGATATAGGTGAGAGTTGTGTACTCCCACCCTCCTCAAACTCATTTGTGGATCTCGTTGGGTATGTTGTTGAAGAGGAAAGTGTATTGATAATTATTAAAATAACAACACCCACCCTCCTTAAACTCATTTGTGGATCTCGTTGGGTATGTTGTTGAAGAGGAAAGAGTGTTGATAATGATCAAAAATAACAAACCCGTTGATGGACCTCACCGGGTATGTTGTTGAGGACGAAAGAGTGTTGATAATGATCAAAATAACAAGACCCACCCTCCTCAAACCCATTGATGGATCTCGCAGGGTATGCCGTTGTTGAGGAGGAAAGAGTGTTGATAATGATCAAAATAACAACACCCACCCACCATCCCCCACACCCGTTGTTGGGTATGCTGTTGAAGAGGGAAGAGTGCTGATAATAATGATTAAAATAACAAATCAAATGCAATATGATAAACTAAGGCTACTTTTCAATTGCTAATGTAGCAAAAATGGAGCCATTTTACAGCAGCACTGAACATTCTCATTTTCTCATATAAGAGATAAAACAAGACAGCACGCTATAATCTAAATCCTGCTGAATTTCATAGTTTACCGACTTCCACAACTGAGACAATCCAACGTTTCGGAACCATAGCTCCTACTAACAACTGATGTAACATTCACAGGGTAACTAACATACAATGTCTACGCTATTCCCCATATATACCCCCCCACCAAACTGAAACTAGAGCCGCTGTACATCCCTTGTCTTACAGAAAAATCGAAACCATTTTCCACAAAATATCTGCACAACAAATCATGCATCTTCTAAAATAAAATTGTTTTCATCAAGTTGAGAGCCCCCCCACTTGCTTCTGCAGCATGGATGTTCCAGAGAAAACCATCATCTGATAATTTTTCCGATACTGCTTCATCTGCAATGAGATGGATGCACGGGTTAACAACAAAAACTATAGAAAAGGGGTCGATGGAATGCATGCACGTACTTATGTCAATATCAAGTTACCTGTTCTTCAGGGATCTTTGTAAAGCTAAATCTATTTGTCCAGATTGCCTCTGCTTCTTCTGCGGACGGAAGTACAAGGTTTTCTACTTTCAGGGACCGCAAAAGGTTCTCTACACAAGAAAACAGAGACTGGAAGTAACCCTGAGCAGGAAAAACAAAATGTTTGGTTAACAAAATGGAAAAGAATAGGTATAGCCTCACAGGGTAAGGGTAAACTGAAACCAGACAAATTGTAAGCTTAAAATTGAGTTACCTGTCCTTGACAATTAGTACTTGTAGCAACTAAAGGGAGTTCAGCCACTTCCTTCCCAAAAACACGGAAAATGCCAGCAGAAACAACCAATGAACTGCAAAGGAAAGAGAATCAGTATGGTTACCATCTTACAGAAGAATTGTATGGAACACTGGTGAAGTGGTGTTTCTTACTTGACCAATAATATTGCGCAGAACATCCCTCCATAGTCTTGGTCCTTGAAACTCCTTCTGAACATCGTGGATATGTAAAATAGAGTGAGGGAGGTTGTGTACCAAACAAGAGAGTATTCAGAAGAACTGAGAGATCAAATGAATAGCAAAAAGCTTATTACTTACCCATAGACCATGTGTGGGATCAAATCTAGACGGCTAGTACTTGCATCAGCAATTGGGTCAAATTGTTCCTATTACACAAGGCAAAGAACAGATAATCAAATTCACATATATATACACAGTAAGCATCATTAATTAGCATGACAATTATCTACATAAAAACTGTATTAGCAGGTGGGTAACAAGATTACAATACAACTGGAATTTGTTTAACTACAAATACACAAAAGCAGTGTTGTTCGGATATGATATTCTGGGATTCCAATACCCATCAGACTTTACTCATGGCATAAAGAATATGATTTATAACACTTCATTTGATTTACAATTAGGAGTTAGATAGTAGCTATTAGTGGGCGCCGGGCGGTAGCAAGTACCCAGTGCAATAGTCGGGCACATAAAATGGTCCGAACACAACCGTTATTTAAAAAATGATTGTAGTCATGATATTACTTCTTTAAAAATCACTGCCTAATCACCAAAATTGACCTTTTTTTTTTTTGAGAAGGGCCAAACTTGACTTAATCCATATACAAAATAAATAAAGGGGAACTCCTGAAACAGAAAAAAACTAATCATCAAGTTGGGCAATCATAGATGTGGTGGGCTGAGTTGCAAGCTAGCTGGTTAGAATTCTACACCTGAAAAAGAGAAACAGATGTAATAAAACCCAGACTAAGGGATGTAAATCCACACTGATCTAAACTATCACTTGTGACGCTCGTATTCCGACCATCAACCCCAACCCCAAGAAGGCTTCAATTGATAAAGGCAATGGGCCGACACAGTACCAAATTGTCATGAGAAACTGGTATTGGAAAATCTGAGAGCTTAAAGTATCTGCAGTTGTCAAGACGAACCTCTTACTAAGAAAGAAAGTAACCTCTACATTAGTATGACCCAGAAGTGAATTAGTATTAAAATATAGGCATGTTAAAGCAAAGCATGGACCCTAAGAACAGGAATGGTCTCCAATTATCTCTGATTTTGAAAAGGTTAGAGATCCAAAAATCAAGGAGCTTGGTTTGCTTTTTAAAGAGGTAGGAACTAACTTAAAGCACATAAAAAAAATAGTATTCATGTAAATGTCTGAATGCATATAGAAAAGAGAAGAGAAATGCATTGGGAAAAGATAGTTAAGCAGTCTCCAATTTCATAGAAAATGAGTTCTTAGAAATGAACAATTTGCAATTAGGCATGTTAGCAGGTCTCCTAGAGGTTAGGCTGGTTCTCTTCCGAGTCAGAAGAACAGTAGGAAATAAACTAGGAAAAGAAACTCACATGGAAAATTGAAACAGCACTAGAAAGCCAGACCCTTGTCTCTTCTGATGACATTTTTCCACTTAGCAGACGCCATTTAATGTCAAGCCTGGAGTTATTCACTGAACCTTTTCCTTCATTCTTTGCCTTCAAGACTTCCAAAAGAGACTCAGGAATGTTCTGTTCTCCATCTGATACCACCTTTTCCAGAGCAAAATGAATTCTACTGCAATCTGTGCAGCAAAACCATTTGTCTTTTGGCAATTCCTGAAGTGAGGAGGGTTTCAAAACGTTGACTAGCGATCAGGATGTGTAAATATGTGCAGGTTAAACAATCTAATTATACAACATAAAGGACATAGGAGATATACTAGAAATAGAAAAACATGCAATAGAATATGAAATTCTGCAAACCTGTAAGTCATCTATGTTGTGCTCCTTCAAACATCCAACATGATACTCCTTCTCACACTACAAAAAGCAATGGAAAACTTCTTCAATGCTCGACCTTACTGAGACCTCACAAAAGAGTAAAAAGGTCAGATATTATATTATTCGATGCTAACAAAACAATACCTGATCACAAATTATAACTGTCCGCGGGCCAAATCCTGATTTGCTGAAATCCTGATCCCTGCAACATTAGCAAAACTTATGAAACTACTGAATAGCACAGCAACAGTGGAAAATTTTCAAATTTCATAAAGTTCTAATATCTTTGACTTTGCAAATGAAGGAAAATACACAACTAAATTTTAAAAAAACTCAATATCTATCTGATGATGCAGCATCATAAAAATAAAATGGAATATATGCCAACACTTCAGTATCTGTCAAGTATGTAATATCTGGATAATAAAATGGAACACATGCCAACACTTAGTAAAAAGTTAGTTTGCTAGAGAAACATCATATGAAA